AATTATGGAATATAATTAAGGCGTTCAAGCGTTTAAGCAAAAGTCAAACAGGGCTGCCCACAAAGGACACAAAGTTTTCGCAGTACATCCTGGGGCGCTGCCTTGGGTGAAACGAGTTGGGACACCGCAGTCGAGCGGTTCGCATTTGTTGTGTTTACATTTGGAGCTCATTGTGGCACCAGACCCTGACCTCGACCCAGACCCATATCCAGGCACAGCCCATATGTTCTCCTAATCACGACCAACGAGTTTGTCAATGTCAGATTGACAAATCGCATCCCTTTTGGACACATCCACAAGCCTAATTATTACCTACAGTCGGAGTATCCTCATTTCATCTCGATTTAAATCGCGGAACGAGAGGCAAGGACATTCGTGGCAAGCTTTAAGCAGCCCGAAATAGGAATTTTATAAAGCGCCATTGTTGTCAGCGGCTTTGCTAATTAATTTGATATTTTTCGTTACCAGCCGTTGCTAAAAAGCAAAAAAAAATAAAAATGCCAAGGAAACATTCTGCGGCCCCATTCCTGGGGTGTGGGTGTGGGCGTGGCCGCGCACCAATGGCTCGTAAAATGTTGTTCTTCCCCGCTTCGGTTTTGGGTCTTTTGTTCAAATTTTTTTATGCACATTCCATTGAAAGTACGGTGGCTAAAAAAAGGCGGCAATATTAATATCAATTTTGGAGCTTTGTCTAAGGCTAACAACCCCCTTTCTTGTCGTTGTTGGATACTGCTGCTACTGCTGCTGTTGTTGACGTAGATTATAATCAAATGTATTCTGTTCAGTTCTATGAATAATTTCGTTGTTTTTTACGCCGCGGCGGAGCTGCTTTTTCATTGCGTGCCTCCGGGCGCTATGAATGTGTCCTCCGCCTCTGGCTAGCTTTGGCTTTATTATATTAATGGCAATTACTCTTAATTACTCCCTCTCGCTCTGGCTCGCGTTCTCCTGCCGGCTGGCTTTCCCTGTTCCCTTGCAATTAAGTTGATTACAACAACAGCTAGAGCATATGGGTTAGACCTGTATGTGTGTTGCCAGCCCTGACCCGTGAAAAGGGCTGTAGATTACGGCGGAGTTGAAAGTAAAAAGCAAGGTTAGCTGCCCTCACCAAGAGGGCGAGCACATGCTTATAAATCACGGAAGCTCCTTAAGCTGCTCTGTTCTGGGCTCTTTGCTTTCTTTTGTCTACTTTCCAATTTTTTACAAAACGCCACGCAGTCCTGTTTTCCCTCGTTTTCGCTCAAATTCAGTTAACCGCCTCGAGGGCCGAGAACAAGCCCGTAGTATCTGGGCAGGGCATCTCCCGAGCACTCCAGACCTGATAGCTACAAGTGAGGATATTACTTTCCTCTTCTCAGGGGCTCGAGCACACGCACTCGGCACTTCCACCGATAATAGAACATTTGGCCGCAAGACAAATTATTCCGCTGCCAGGGGTAATGTGAAAGCTCACTGCACAGAAAGACTGTGTTTCTGACTTCATTTATGATTTTTTTTTAAATACTTCGAAAGATGTTCCAAAACCAAACAACAGTCAGGTGGACATGAGCTTTCACCCCCACGGTAGCTGATATTTAGACTCAAATTTCGACCTGGCCAGCACCAGGTTTTCTTTCCAGTGGAACCCACCGCCTCCACCACGGCGGACTCCGCCCCTCGCGGCGACAATCATCATCAGTGTCAGCAACAGGAGGCGGGTTCCGCATGGCTTTTGATTCCAGCGGAGGTAAAGCGCGTTATTCCCGCCAAATCCAAATACAAATCCGAAGTGGGCTGCGGGCGTGTTTTCGCGTAATTGGAAATCGAAAAGCGCCCAAATGGTAAAGCAGAAGCCACGGCGAAAGCACTCTGGCTTGCCAGCCACAAGTGGCGGGTGGATAGATGGATAGCTCTGATAGCCGGATAGATGAGCCAAGGACCTTGTTTCCCCCATTAGATGGGGGATATTCAAAGCCATCATTGACTAAAGCCGAGCTAACGAGAGGGGCAAGTTCGAGAAAGCTGGTTCAGACATTGCGACATGTGCCAAAGTAATTAACAAAATTGCGTTTTAAAAATGAGATGCGAAAATTAAAGCCTCCTCATATAATTATTGATTTTAATGCGAAAAGCATCGCCAGCAATACCTCACTAGATACCTCACTAGATTCCTAATATTGTCACTCCCCCGTATCCAGAAAATGGACAAAAAATCTAAAAAATATTTTGTCTCAGGATTTTGATGCAGAATAATAGGGAATCGATTCACGAATCTTTTAAGGTATTCCGCTCAAGAATCGGATGAGAATTGGGGAAGATATAGCCATCACTGTGGGCCATATAGGAGAAAACCCCATTTTCAAGGGATCCCATCACGAAAAATGGACAAAAAATCTGAAAAATATTTTGTCTCAGGATTTTAATGCAGAATAATAGGGAATCGATCCACGAATCTTTTAAGGTATTCCGCTCAAGAATCGGATGAGAATTGGGGAAGATATAGCCATCACTGTGGACCATATAGGGGAAAACTCCATTTTCAACGGATTCCATCACGAAAAATGGACAAAAAATCTAAAAAATATTTTGTCTCAGGATTTTGATGCAGAACGGTGGAGAATCGATCCAGAAATCGTTTAAGGTATTCCGCTCTAGAATCGGATGAGAATTGGGGAAGATAGAACCTTCGCAGTCTCTCACTTTGGCCTTCCATTCATTTCTAAAGGGAATACGCTCTTCAGACCCAGATTTGGGTCAATATCGATGAAGAATTAAGCGAAGAATATTTTAAGGTTCATCTTTACAATTTTGTTGGCAAACCAGAAGATTTAAAAAATATTTTGTTCAGGAGCTTGGCAGCTACAAGTGGCGGGGTGATAGATACACAGATAGCTCTTCTGATAGTCGGATAGATGAGCCAAGGACGTGTTCCCCACTGGTTGCCAGCACATTCAAAGCCAAATCATCGACTAATGCCGGCTAACGAGTGGTGGAAATTCGAGAGAAAGCTGCCTCAGACGGCGCGACGCGTCGGCGGCGGCATGTGCGAAATTAATTAACAAAATTGCGTTTTAAAAATGAGATGCGCGGCCGCTGCCGCCTGCAAAAAAAGGTTGCAATTACCGTTAATGAGTTTAATGCCAAAGGCGCCACCACTACCAAGCGCATCCTCGCCCACTGCCGCCCTGTCTCTTAATGAGCGGAGCCTTTCAGACGTCACAAAAGTTTGGAAGCTTGTCTATTTTGATGTTTCCTTCTCCCCCTTTGGCTCTTGGGTTTCTTTTGGAGAAGAAAATATTTTACTTTCCTTTGCACTTGACTTCACTTTGACTACGGGGCTGCTTCGGAAGAAAAATGCACGGAACACGCAACAAGTCCTGGCCCGGCTGGCCTGCCCTGGCCTGGCCTGAGCCGGGAACTTGGTCAAGCACCATTGCTGGCTCTCGGAAATTACCCTTTTTACGTGGCACATTAATTTCAAGCAAGTTCACTGAGCTCGGTGGGCAGTCGACCCCAAAGCTCAACTCGACCACCCCAACCCGACTCGACCCACGACCCTTTTCCACGCTTGACCACTGGAGCGCCATTGGAGCGTTTTTGATTTCTGGTCGAGGTTATTTTTTCGGTAAACTATTGCTTTCCTATTATACCGCAAGTAGCATTAACAACTAGCACTGCTTTGATTTCGACTGATGGCCCCGAATCATCCCTAAACGGATACCTTTGCCCTTTTGTGTCCAACTTTATTATTTCTTCTCCGCCCAGGGTCGGATCTGTCTCGATTGGTCAGTGGCAGCCAATTAGGGGCCGGCTGTGTGGCCAAGTGTTAAATTAATTACCTAATGGCTGCACTCTGGCTCCGCAAAGTTTGCTTATTGAACTCTTAAATATGATGCACATGCAGCTCGTCCGCACATCCTGCCTGCCTGTCTGTGTGTTGTATTTATTTAATTATATTTGCTGTGAGGAAAAACCAAATGTCGGTAATCGGAGCTGGGCTGGAGAATCGGTCGCCGGACAAGTGCTGCACAAATAGCAGGTTCAGGTCGTGCTCTGGGCAGAGTGCATGGGTCAGAGTGTCAGAGGGTCAGAGGAGGATCCTTTGGTCATGACAATGGCAGCGCAAATAGTGAATGCACTTCCACAAAAGTGTTGTTATTAGCGGACGATTTAGTTCCGAAAGAGTGAGAGATGAACTCTTTGAATCCTTTGACTAAAATGGACTTTCAGAAACACATAGTTTCTCTCAGCGCATACCTACAGCGTCCTGCCAAGGAAAATCTTGACTGGGTAAATCCTTTTATGGAACTGTCCGGCACAGAGCAGTCACTGCGGCGGGACAACAGAAAAAGCGCCGGCTTAGAAGACAGAAGGATCCCCAATCGGAAGTGGGACGTGTGTGCGAAATGTAAACCTAAATATTTTATACCGTTCGAGGAGGCAGCACAAAGGCAGGAGCTCAGGGATAGCCAGGTAAGTGCCGGGCGCTCTGAAATAAAATTGCATACTTTATGGCACGGATGCGGCATCCCAATCGCAGCAACAGTAGTCACAAGACGGGCACAAGTCGGAGAAGTCGACTGGCAGACGTCTTTGTCGGGAGGAAGGAGCAGAAATTCGATAAAATTTATTTACAGTTTAAAAAACGGACAAATTCCGAGTCAAGAAGCCATCCAGACGGAGAAGGATACGACTGCAATCGACTCTGGTGCGTGTCTGGTAGGACTTATTTAAAATTCAATTATGGCTCACAATTGCCGGGTGCTTGCCGCAGAAGGAGACGATAGAGCTGGCTTCCACCAGGAACAGATGTAGCTTCCTTTTAGGCTATAAGTATATATTTCCCGATCTTGATCGAATCTATTTCCCATATAAATTCCCTTAAATAATATTATGGTTTTGAAATGATACTGAGTCATTGATAGTCACTTTTTATAAAACTATAGACCCCTCATGTCTTCTGTGCCTGCCCGCACCTAGGTGAGGGGCACGTGTGGGTAGTTACTGATCGCATCGCTTACCAGATAGTTCAGTTTGTATATAAATTGTTCATCGATCCTTACCTGGAAGAAAAAGGAAAAAGACAGTTAGTTATGTGGGTTTCCGATGTGGTCTAGATTAGGCCCAAGACACTTGATAATTACTTCAATCTCTGGGTAATCTAAGGCACACAATATCGAGTTTCATACGACAATTACTGAGGTGAGAGTGGTGGGGGGGATGGTGTATTTTTCAAATTATAAATAACACACAAAGGGGGGGAGTCTATTTAAAAAGTAAATAATCGGAAAAATACTTAATGAGCAATGTAATTATTCTACGATATAGATTTTCGCCGATTCCTCTAATGATTCATCGATTTCCTCCCATTGTGTCTCATATTTTTAAGGACTCCCGCTCCAATCTAATTATAATTTATGTCACTGGCACACGGCTAGAAAGTAGCTTTTTTTGCTGACTGGGCGACTGGGCTGGTGACTGGGCTCTGCTCGTGACGATAATATTTCCGACGGTATCTGTTTCGCCATCATCGTGGAAATCGACAGGAGCAACAGGAGCCGCAGCCAGGAGTCGGGAGCCCCCTCGTCAGTGTGACACCCGAAATCTTGTTAAAGAAATCTCAATTATCAACTTTTATTGATTTGCATAGCCAGAGGAGCAGCGCCGGGCGGGAAAATGGTAAGCGAGCCAGGCACAACAAGAGCTATTACGTCCTGTGCTATTTACGCTCCATTTTGCCGCTTTTCACTCGCGCAGGAGCTGGGGGGCAGGACTGGGCGACTGGGAGACTGGGAGGAATGCAGGAGAAAACAATTACGATAAAAATGTGAACTCCTGCCGTCGTTGGCTCGGTTTCAGTTCAGCTCCTGTTTTTTTCCTTTACGAGGAATGAATGGGCCCGGCTTTGGTTAGGTAACCTGCCATGAGACAGGCTCTGAGCACGGATAAAAGCAAATTATGATAACAATAAAGATTTAACTAGGGGGAGCCTGCCCGTCCTGGGAGCCGTGCCCAAGTGGTTCGGTGCTGGATGGGCGGTGCTGTCAAGTGGCACTGCCATGACCGTGCCATTGAGGAATCGACAAAGGCTCCCGACTCGGCTAGTAGCGCAACGGGGACAATTTAAATAGACATTTATCTTGTGGCACACACACCCACACCCACACCCGGTGGAGTATACACACGTGCCGGTGGTGGTGGCCATGACGTACATATACGGCTGATCCATGACGATGATGCCGACTGACTGCCGACGGTTGTACGGGAATCCCCCACTTCAGCACTGATGATGCTGCTCCTGCTCGCAGGATATCCTCCGACTTTGGCTGGAGTTTGTTCCCGCTACCTTCCTGCTTGTTTTGTTTGATTTTATTACTGCAACAACAACGAGAACCACAGATTCTTGCCACTTTCCTTTCGCTTGCCTATTTCTGCCTCCAGTTTTCCTTTCGCTTCGTGTTTGGGTCTTTGGTATCCCCTTATTATTCTCTTTATAATTTTTGGCTGGGCAAATGTTTTTCAAAGCATAAAAATACTTTTACATTAACTTGTTCCAACACACCCACCCCCCACACACACACTGCACACTCAAACAAAAAGTTGTAGAACATTTTTGGGTTTGCTTTTAACGCTGAACGACTTTCCTAGGGAGGCTGGAGAAAGTATCTGAAGAAAAATAGCAAGTTTTCCAGAAGGCGCCCCCAAACAACAACAGCCATAATAATCATAACAATGGCGCCGTGTGGAAAAGTGTGTGTTTATGTGCGGCGGAGGATGGGGTGGTGCCCTGTCTATCGGCTGTATCAACATCATTTGTGTTAAGTGGTCGGAGGAATGCGCCGAAACAACTTCCAGCATTTACGATTTGCCTAATGCGTTGACCTATCTATCAGAGCTGCTCGCTAGTTGCTGCCTATTAAACTGCCATAAAGCGGAGGTCGCTGGCTGGGTGCCAGTCGAGCAACAGTTAACCAGATTTTGGCCGCCTAATTGGCTGCCTGTTGGGTCTTGGCTCTTGTTTGGCGCTGTCAGCCCGAGGGCCACACCGAAACAAGCCCAAAAAGACAGCCAAATAAAATATCAGCAGCAGCAGGAGCACAAAAACTGTTGCATACTTAAAGGGCGCCCCTAATACCATTTGCTGATAATACGCCTGGATGTGGGTGTGCGGGTGTGCCACAAAAAAATAAATAAAATACTCTGGCCAAGGGGTTTCTTCTCCGAGCTCCTTACGTGCGCCGGGGATTCTTTTTGTCTAGGCAAAAAAATTAAGAGGAAAAGGAGCAGGAGCCGGAGCACGGCAAGGAGCAAGGAGGAGGAGCTGAGGCAGGAGCATAGATTTCAGCATATCGATAGCAAGCGTATTGCATATTTGCTGTTCAGCTCTCGAAACGAAGCAAGCTGAACACTTTTATGGCTTCTGGGCAAAATTTATGATTTCCCTTACTCCTTTTGTTGAAAAAGGATTTTGTTTTGTTCAGCTCGTTACCTGAGTCCTCCCTGATTCGCCTTCTCCTTTTGTGCCCGCCGCAATTTAAGCGCTTTAAATTTACATGAAAATCAAAGTAGACAGGAGACGGCTGTAGACCAGCCCAGCAGGGCAAAATTATGGCAATTAAAACAAATTAACCGGTTGAGCACAAAGCGTTTACTGAATCTGGGTATCAAAGTTCAAAAGCCCGCCTTCCTTGCTAAAGTTAACTAAACAAAATACTAATGAACTCCGAACTCGGGACACACCTCCGCCCACTCCGCTCTGGCGTGCTCCGCAAATAGAAGGACACAGCAGCTCTGCCGGCTGGGAAAATTGATTTGCATAGCAACCGGAGCATGTGGCATAGTCTGCAAATCGCAAGACACTCGCTAAGCAGTTTAACTATTTAAGGCACAGCCTAGGCGGAGGCAGGGGCAGGGGCAGGGGCAGAGGGGGATGAGCTCAAAGCACGAGCAGAGGCCGCATCCATGGCAACTGCGTCGGAGCGTACGCCGCAGGCTGAAGTGTCAAAGACATGGCCATCACAGGCTTGTCGACTACACAAATGTTGACAGGCTAATGAAATGTGAGGCGGCCCCAAAACTGATACACCCACCCCGGCCCGGAGACGATGATGAACCGAGTCCGCTCCTCGAGCCCCATTGACAGTGAAAAGGAGTCCCTGGCGACCGCTTTGGACCGTGGGGGCCAGTGCCAAATTGTTGTTAGGCATTCGGTTATGCAAATCGAAATCATAATGAAATCAACAATGGCAGGGCAGGGCTGTCAGGCGGTCTGGAAGTTTATTGACGGAGGAGCTAGTCGGTCCTAGAAGGACTCCTTTTGGCAAAAAAGTATTTAATATTTCAGGAGGCCAGGCTCTATTAGAGCAGGGAGGAACACCGTTTATCCCAGGTGGAAGTCCAATTTATTTTTTGCACACTTTACGGCCCCCAGAAAAACGATGGCAACAAGTCCAAATTGGTCCTCAATCAGAGGCATAAAATGTGCGACCAATCGGCTCTGGCGGCGTGTATATCATGCCACAGGACAATCGACTCAAAACTGAATTCCAAAACAATTTTCCGGGGACGCAGGGAGAACGCCCCAAAGACATGAGTAGTAAATCACATCAATATGTAACTCAGTCAGTCAGCAGGATAGGACGGCAGGACGGCAGGACGAACCCAAAGAGCTTGAGCAAAGTGGAACGAAAACAGATGGCAAAGATGTTTATCTAAGAGCAATGGTCCCGGACTCGTTTCCTTGCCATCCCTGAGACATGCCAACCACCATGCCATGCCATGCCATCCCAACGATTTGCTATGCAATTTTACACACTTGACCATTAAACGTAGCCATTGGGAGCAGTTTGCATAGCAATGAAGCGATGCCAGCAGAGCAGACCAGAGTCGGAGTCGGAGTCGGAGAGTCTGAATAGAAAATCGAGCCCCGTAGTAGGGTCAACTTGATGAAGTATGAATGATTACGTCAGAGGAAGGAGCAAAGCTCAGCTCAAAGGAAGAGGATGCGGATGCGGATGAGGATGCGGATGATGACCACGATGATGGCGACGGCTAACCGCAGTCAGGAGAAGGTGTGTAGTTGACTGTAAAAACTCAATGAATAAATTTCTCCCTTCTCCGAGGTGTCCGACAATCACACAGACCCTGTGTCGAAGGACCCACATGCAGGGGGGAGGAAGTAGTAGCAGAGTAAATTGATCGAAATGAAAATACTCATAAATTTGCATCCGAAGGCCGAAATATTGTAATTGAGCGATGGAATTTATGGCCAGACTGATAAAAAGTGGAGCATTTGAAATACGGGGGCCTCCTACAAGAAAAAGGGTAGCACATAAGGGCTAAAGTCCATAAAGTCCATTTGATAATCCATTGCTTACAGGATGATAGTAATATCCTCCACGATTGGGTGAATCAATTTAGTTATTTTTCTTACTGGGTATTTCAATATTTTATTCAAGATTCCCGGCCCCCGCCCGCCACTCAGGACGCTCGTTTAGCCCGTTAAAGACCACCTTGAAATTAAATAAGGGAAGGCCGTATATCTTCCAGAGCTCCTCCGCTGGCGCTGCCCCTTCTGACACTTGACGATTTGTCATGTTGACACAATAAAACGTCAAAAGAGGAGCTCCACAGCCGAAGTCGAAGCCAAAGCCAGAAGAAGGAGCGCTCCCGCAAACGAGAAAAAATGCCAAGTAGATTCTATGGAATTATGACAAACTGTCTCGAAAATGCTGAAAATACTGTTAACGTTTTAGCCCGGAACGGAACGGAACAGAACGTATTCGGACAAAGCAAGGCAAAAAATTATATGAACTGCAGCTTTTGCTTTTGTTGACTTGACGAAAGGAGGAACGTGGCGTATGAGCAATGTCTGCTGATGAGAATGATGAAACAGCAAAAAAATGCCAGCCAGAAGCCAGAGTCAGGGGGTAGGCGCATGCAAATACAATGAACTTGAGTGGAAAGTGGCAAGTGGAGTCGCTTTTGCTGCTTTGCCGGTTTGCTGGTTTGCTGGCTTGCTGGTCTGCCTGCATTTATGAGCGTAAAAAATTGGCGCCGCATT